TTTTGATAGGATAGAAAAATGGAAAGATGAAAAGAATGTAGATGCATATTTTATCTATATATCTAAATGTAAAATTAATGTATACATAATATATAATAAATATTTTTTTTATTTTTTTTGGGGGAGGGAGAGGGGGAGAGGAAGGGGGAAGGGGACTTGAACCCTTGACCTCAAGAAGGTAACTTTTTTACAAGGCAAGTAGTACCATTAGACCAAAGAGTCATTGGTATAATATATAATCTATATAATAAAATAGTTTACAACTCAAATCAAAAAAAAGATAAACAAAATAACTTTTGCTATTCGCGGTTGAAATCGTTTTAAATTTTATTTTAAAGTTAATTTAACGGCTAATATTAACACCCTAAATTTANTCTTTTTCTTCCCTCCTTGGGAGGACTCACCCCGATGGGCTTTGGTGACGTCTTCGACATTCATGAATTTATGTGCCCTAGACAGCAGCTCGGGTATGTTGGAAGGCGGCTTCTTGAGGAAGGAGAACATAAAACTGGAGGAGCGCAAGCTTGTGATAAAGGTGGCCAGGGCTACCTTGTCATCTGGCTCCTCTATCTGGAGAGCCTCCTCGTTGAAGCGGGCAAGGTAGTCTCTAAGGTTTTTATCCCTGTCCAAGAGGGCTTGATCTTTGCAAACCATTGGCGTGCGGACTCCTTGATGGTGGTAGGGAAGGCTCTACACATAATCTCTTCAGGCACGTTGTGTAGTTGTATGAAGAATTTATAGGTGTCTAGGTGGTCAAGGGGGTCTTTGGTATCGTTGAAGATCTCGATGGTAAGCATCTTAAACTTCGAGGGTAAGAGATAATTGACTATGTCAGCAACAAAAGGTGTGTCAGTGCTTCTTACCAGGTTGTCTACTGTTTCGGGCGTTGTACCTTGATGGTGTTGAGAACATCACCGAGTTGGTTTTGCACCTCTCTAATCTTCTTGTCTCACTGATTGGGGATATCCTCAGTCGGGTGGTGGTACTGACTTTCATGGTCTCCATATTGGCTTCCTTTGTCTTTGTTCTTCTACGCAGGTATGCGCGAAAAGGGTACGCAAAAGCTCCCTACGCGCTGGGGAGGGATTATTGGGCGAGGGGCGCCTTGGCGTGGCCCTAGAGTATTCTGGCGAGGGCCCCCATGGTGGGGGGCAGTCTGGCGCCCAGAAGGGATAGATTGTTGCTTTTCTCCCATTGGAAGGAGTGGGACTCCTCCCATAAGGTGAAGGGTGACGCCCCCCTTGGGCGAGCATCATCTGGATGATTTGTTGATTTTGGTTCACCAACAACTGCATAGTTTGGAGGAGTTGTTGTCTGACGACGAGGGTTGTCATAGCAGATGATTCTACAGGTGCAAGGGGAGGCGGAGCCTCCTCCTGGTGGGCTGGGTTGTTGTCTCCCGGTTGTTGACTCATTAATCAGGTAGTGATTNTGCATGGTTTGGAGGAGTTGTTGTCTGACGACGAGGGTTGTCATAGCAGATGGTTCTACAGGTGCAAGGGGAGGTGGAGGCTCCTCCTGGTGGGCCGGGTTGTTGTCTCCCGGTTGTTGACTCATTAATCAGGTAGTGATTGTCATAGATTTGAAAGAGAGTAGGAAAATTAGTCGTTTCCCACATACGGCGCCAAACGGATGATGCACAAATTGACTTTGTGCAAAATCAACAATCAAGAATGTGTAAAGATGCAGTTAATGACCAATAAAAAGGCAATCAATGGTAAAACAGTAAATAAGAGCAAAACACATAGATTTATAGTTGTTCGGTCTGGGTAACCTACTCTACTTTCGGGAACAGCAGCGGTGGCCTGGGATGTTTTATTGATAAATAGAATCTCCGAGAGAGTATGCTTCGAGAGTATTACAATAGTGAGAAGAGAGAAGCAATGTGTGTAGGGAAGTGTAGTGTGTAGGGATCTTGTAGAGGTCCCAAGGTCATGAAGACATAAAGATCACTCCCTCTATGTGGAGAGGGCTTACAATATATAGGCTTAGTAAGCGGTGACGTGAGAGAAAGAACTTCTNTGACTTACTCTACTTTCGGGAACAGCAGCGATGGCCTGGGATGTTTTATTGATAAATAGAATCTCCGAGAGAGTATGCTTCGAGAGTATGACAATAGTGAGAAGAGAGAAGCAATGTGTGTAGGGAGGTGTAGTGTGTAGGGATCTTGTAGAGGTCCCAAGGTCATGAAGACATAAAGATCACTCCCTCTATGTGGAGAGGGCTTACAATATATAGGCTTAGTAAGCGGTGACGTGAGAGAAAGAACTTCTACTATTTTAGTAAGTACAATTTTAGTATGATTGGATCTCCGTATTCCGATATTCTCTCGCTCATGTCTCCATTCCGTCGGAGGATGATCCTGATCTTGAGCTTGGACTTAGAGTGGTCNGGCGGTGACGTGAGAGAAAGAACTTCTACTATTTTGGTAAGTACAATTTTAGTATGATTGGATCTCCATATTCCGATATTCTCTCGCTCATGTCTCCATTCCGTCGGAGGATGATCCTGATCTTGAGCTTGGACTTAGAGTGGTCTGGACTTGGACTTGCATTGGAGTGAAGAAGGGAGGAGAGGAACAAGAGGGCAGGCCATGGGCAGCACCCACTTAGAGACCATATGGGCGGCGACCCCTTGGGTGGCCCCCTTCCTCGTTTGGGGGATCCTTGATGCTGGTTTCTTGATGTCCTTTTGGATTTCCTCCTGANTAGAGACCATATGGGCGGCGACCCCTTGGGTGGCCCCCTTCCTCGTTTGGGGGATCCTTGATGCTGGTTTCTTGATGTCCTTTTGGATTTCCTCCTGATGGGTCAAACCAGCTCCAATTGGGTTCTTCTTTGGGCTTACTTGGTTTAATTAATTGGGCTTGACCTAGTCAAATTCGGGCTCATTAGAAAGTATTTGGCCAAAGTCCAATTAATAACGTCGTTCCACACCCTAGCACTTTACCCCGCAATAATTTCCAAAATAATTGCCTAACTCTCATTTTGGAAGGAATTATCTAAAATGGTGTGCTTGGTTGTATGGATGAAAAAAATGAAAAGATGAAAAGTAAGATTAATACATTTTCTATCTTTCAAGTGAGGAATTATTCATTCCCTCCTTTGTGTTTGGTAAGAGGGATGAAAAAAACAAATAATTGATTTTTATTTTTTTTGTTTGATAGGATAGAAAAGTGGAAAGATAAAAAGAATGTAGATGCATATTTTATCTGTATATCTATATGTAAAATTAATGTATACATTATATATAATAAATATTTATTTTTATTTTTTTTGGGGGAGAGGAAGGGGGAAAGGGGCTTGAACCATTGACCTTAAGAAGGTAACTTTTTTACAAGGCAAGAAGTACCATTAGACCAAAGAGTCATTAGTATAATATATAATCTATATAATAAAATAATTTACAATTCAAATCTCAAAAGATAAACAAAATAACTTTTGCTATTCGCGGTTGAGATCGTTTTAAATTTTATTTTAAAGTTAATCTAACGGCTAATATTAACACCCTAAATTTAATATGAAAAATAGACCTCTAAGGGTATGTTTGAAGTGACTTTTTAAAAGTACTTTTAAAAATTATTTTTTATAAATACTAAAAAAACAAATAGTGTTTGAAACCGTCCCATTATTACGTCTATCACCACCACCATCACCGCGACCGCCGCCACTACTGTCGCCACCACCACCACCATCACCACCGTCATTGCCACCACCACCCCCACCACCGCCACCTCCACCACCACCACGCCCACCATCACCGCCACCATCACTGTCGTCGCCACCACCATCATCGCCGCTGCCACCATCGCTGCCGCCACCAAAACCATCACCGTCTCCTACCACCACTACCACTGTCGCCCCACCACTTCTCACCTCTACTATAAAACTGATGTTTAAATTCTTTTATCTCTTCTTTTTATTTGTGATTTGATTTTAGATTTGAATACAAATATATTTATTGTTTATCATTTTTTATTATTGTGTACCTTTAGACACAGGTAATAACTAGTAAATAAATATTGTATATGCGTATATTAAAAGATATATAGGTAAATAATATATAAATCAACACACATAATTAATTTTTCGTCAACTTTTCCTCTTAATTTTAAAGAAATTGATTTTGATGAGTTGGACACAGCCAATCCTTCCAATTTTTCATCTTTCCTATTTTTCTTCTTTACCAAACACGATACTTTTTCTATTTCTCTAATTTTTCATCCTTCTATTTTCTATCTTACCAAACAAAGCATAAAAGAGGAAAAAGGTGGTGGCGGAGGCTGGGGAAGAAAGGACCGTGCCACCAACAACGACCGGGTTAAAGGTGGATATTCTCAAACTTCAATTATGTTAGTTTGGAGGAAAATGCCATCTGACTAATAAATCGAAGGGACACAAGTGAAAACTAGCCCAAAGGTTCATAACTTGTTATTGCAGCTTTTTTTATTTATTTTATTCTTTAATTGGTTGAGTTTCATTTTGTCCCCCAAAAGATTCCAGAATTTTACTTTGCCCCTTTAAAGTTTAAAACCCTCATTTTGTCCCCTAAATTTCTTTTAAAAAAATTTAGGACAAACATGTTTTTTTGAGGACACATCACTACCATCTAAAGAAATTCAAGGTGTAACATGAGATTTTGGGACAATTAAGGGATGAAGTGCCATTCTAGTTGTTAGTAATTCTTTTCGATAACCAATTTTCTGTGCATTGCAAGGGTATACAGATAGCAAGCTAGAAATATGTGAGAGGAGTCAAATAGGAGCAAAAAAGGAACAAAAACAATGATGCCACAAATATATTCAACAGTCACCTACACTTGAGGACCTGCTGTCATCAGAAACAAAGTATAGTTGACTCAAGTCACCTACACAAAGCATAAAATTTATACTATAAATTTTTAAATGAGCTTTCCACTTCTTCCAGTTTCTTCTCACCAGGAAATGGATTCCACTTCATTCGCAGGAAGACTGATTTGCGGAGGGGAACCTATGGGTTCGCTTATCTGTAGGACCTTTCAGTTTGTTTTCCTCCCGGCTTTATTCGCCTAGCTGACGAACTCACAACCTTATTGTGGTTCCCAAATCTGAGAGCGACAATTGGTTTCATATACAACTGTCCAGGGAAGTTCCTTTTATCGTTTGGAAGTACTTGTAACTCCGGCAACCAGAACGCTACATATTCTCCCTCGGGATCATAATTTTGCGCCTGAAAAATAGACTGATGACTTAGGACCCCGTCAATAAACACTGACAGAACAGATCACTAGACTCAGTAGTTTTGAATTACCACAAAATCCAAGGCTAACTGGGAGTTCCACCAATATGGGGGTGGTTGCCCCCTTTGGCTACTTAGCCTTGCCTTGAGCATAAAAAAATGTAAAACAGGACTTCCTTAAGAGGTCAATTTGGACTTTTCCTTCCGTCCACGTTAGCACCATACCATCAATAAAACTAATATCTAGTTTCCCTTCAGGTTTTTCCAATCAACCAGGAGACATTTAAGAGTGTTAAAAGAGAGAGAGAGAGAGAGAGAGAGAGAAATATGAAACAAAAATATCAATAGAATATAGGCTTTGTTTAAGACAATAATCTCAACAGAGGACAGGCTCATCTCATGAGTTATTTACCAAATTACCGCACTTTTAAAACAAATATAAAAAAATAAGGTACTTTTGCACTTATTTACCAAACTTCAACACTTTTTAAAAGCAAATTCAATAACTCCATTTTTATTAAATAAAAACAGAGTCAATAACTCCGCTTTTGTAGTTAACAACCTTGTTTCAAAAAAAAAAANGCATTTCAACGCTGTGCACGCCTGTCATTTGTACCCACAACCATCTCTACAACAATTGCATGGAATGTCACGCTATGCATGCCATGTGTCCAAAACATTAGTTTAGTATAAATGACATTTCTCAGATAACCCATGTCTTCGAGGTAGGAGAGTTGTGGGCTGAATCCCCGCAAGCTCCATCGGTGTCGTTTCCATCATCATCTCTTCCCAATTTAGAAGATTTGGCACTGACTAGTAAAAGAGAGTTACTGCTCGTGTGGATCAATGGAACTCTTTGGCTGAGATCCATGTGCCTGAAAGAGGAAGACCCCTTCCGCATCACAGTATTTCTGGTAGCCACTGCCATGCTGCAGCTATTTGAAAATCAACTGTATGGTCAACTTCTTTCAATGTTTGGTGCCGATGGAAAGAGAACAGTAGCTCATTCACCATGAGGAACATTATGCTCGTAATGGTAAAATGAAATGTTGAACACAATAATAATACCCATATCCTTTGGCGAGCATCAACATTCCATTTCAGTGCTTATTTTCGATCAGCTCGGAAACAAAAACTCTTTGAAAACATTTCAGGAAAAAAAAATGAAAATTTATTTCCAACACATTCTGAATTATTGGCCGAAACATACCGAAACACCTCAAAAGATAAAGATTTTGATATTCAATCATCAATTCATTTATTTCCATGGAACTGAAACGTTTCAGTTGTTTTGGTGGAAAAAAAATGAAATCTTGATTCTTGTCCTCCAGTAGCTCAAGACAATAAACATGTGCCTAGTAGATTTGAATGCCCAGTGAAGTCATCCATTGCATTTCATCATGGACCTCCCCTATATGCTTAGCAATTGCTTCCAACTCCACACTAAATCTTCCCATCATAGGCATATGAACCAAATCAATTGATATCATTGGTTTTAATCCCGACAATACCTCAAAAGACCATGCCCAGTACTCTACTAAAAAAACCTGTTTAAACAAATTCGACAATGGGAAACCCCCAAGCCATAGATAAGCCAGCCAGGAGTCAACATTACAAGCTTGAGCTCTTCGTGGAGCCACCCCCATGCATTTATGATAGTAATTACTCGTTGCATGTGGGACTAGGGAACTAGATGTGCCCAGGACGATTAGTTGTGCGCCTAAGAAGCTCAGGTACATAGTAGTGCAAAGTAAAGAAAAAAGAAAATTAGCCATAGCAAGTATTTGGAGCCAATCTGTAACATGGTGACGCAGGACAATCAAATGGCCACCATCAAACACATCAAGAGATCACCAAAGATTTGGTTAGTGACCTCAGGTTTCTCAGCCACTGATTACGAAAAGTTATTTTGACAATCAAAAACTTCCACAAGGTTCCCCAAAGAAGGTCATATGCCGGGAAAAGAGTTCAGTGATATGGACACATCCGATGTCTAAGTACAATTGTCCATGGAACGAAATGCACTATTTTTGAGAACCAATCGACAACCACATACATAGAAACAAACCAAAGAGAGATTTTGACAACCTTAGGGCAAAGTTCATGCTAAGGTCTTGCACTCATGACTACAATACTATTTGATAGTAATACAGGGTTTTTTAGTTGTATTTCTCTATTGGAAAAACAAGGGAAATTTCGTAAAAAAATGTGCTCCTAAATTGGACCTTTCACTACAAAGGAATTCCAATCAGCACCAACTCTTTCTGTCGGATATTTTCAGGCTTCAACTGTGAATTGAAAATAACCCAATAGATGCTCTTCAGTTGCTTGATGTCAGATAGGCAACCATGGTGGAAATACTAAGGCTGATAGGCACGCAATTCAANGCGACCTCAGGTTTCTCAGCCACTGATTACGAAAAGTTATTTTGACAATCAAAAACTTCCACAAGGTTCCCCAAAGCAGGTCATATGCCGGGAAAAGAGTTCAGTGATATGGACACATCCGATGTCTAAGTCCAATTGTCCATGGAATGAAATGCACTATTTTTGAGAACCAATCGACAACCACATAGATAGAAACAAACAAAAGAGAGATTTTGACAACCTTAGGGCAAAGTTCATGCTAAGGTCTTGCACTCATGACTACAATAATATATGATAGTAATACAGGGTTTTTTAGTTGTATTTCTCTATTGGAAAAACAAGGGAAATTTCGTAAAAAAATGAGCTCCTAAATTGGACCTTTCACTACAAAGGAATTCCAATCAGCACCAACTCTTTCTGTCGGATATTTTCAGGCTTCAACTGTGAATTGAAAATAACCCAATAGATGCTCTTCAGTTGCTTGATGTCAGATAGGCAACCATGGTGGAAATACTAAGGCTGATAGGCACGCAATTCAACCTTTGCTGGCAGATACTGCTTGAGGAAGTCCTAATTTGTCATGATTTTGCAAAAAGTGGCATAGCTTGTTCATATGTTTTCCTTAAAAACAAATTGGGTTTAGTCTTCCCTCTTCACCACTTCCCAAAATAACACTATGGTTGCTGAAGGACCTACTTCAAATAAGATACAATCCTAAAAATGTGCAAGAAACATAAACTCACAAAAAGCATAATATAAGCAGGTTCACACATATATAAAAATATACATGCTCTTAATGCAAGGTATCAAAAAGGAATAACCTGCTCCATAGGTCCAATTACCATAGTTGGAGCATGGGTCATAATCCAAAAGGCACGTCTCAAACCATTCAGCTCCCATTCGCCAATCGATTCCCATGTCTCGAACAAGAAAGGAACATACGATCTGGAAAAATATAAATAACCTGTTGAAGAGGACTTTAAGGTGTAAACGAACACACTGTTTTTCGTTTTTGTTGTTTTGTTTTTCCCTTGTCCTCACAAAAACATAACAATCAGATATGAAGTTTGAAGCAAGTGATCTTATGGTTGCAAACTAGTACATCCACCTGTGGTTTGTTTCACAAAAGAAAAGTACAACTACACATGGTTGTTTTACCTGTCGTCCTCGGTTTGACATGAACCCTGTGGTTGATAGTTCTTTCATATTAGCATCTATGAGTGGGTACCTAAAATTTTAACAATTGTAAATGAATCAGTTTAGGGCCCTACATCTTTACTGATCTGTTGGAAACCACATAAATTTCTTTTTCTTTTTGTTCCCCTTAGACGTAAAAACAAAACCAGAACCTGGAAAAAACCACATCCTTGTTAAGAAGAAAGTGAGAATTTTTTTCCAAATCAAGACCAAAAAAGTGAAGGCCTTTTCTAAATTGGAACGACATAAAACAAATAGAATCATCTCTTCATTTTTTTTATTTTTCTTTTCTTATAGATTGATTAGAACAATTCTAAATTAGATGAAACAAAGGGCTGATTCTATCACCCTATGGTGACAGACTCAGACTAAACAATATACCCTGTACGGCCATCTCTCCAAGCTTCAAACAAAATCTGGTCCTGGCTCCAGATAGACTCAACTTTTCTTGGGCCACCTGAAGATAGAAAGAAGAATCCCTAGATAAAAATGTCTGGAAATACAAAATATTCTGACCATTATTACTTTACATTTACTTTCGAATCCCTCAACAAAGCAGGCATATGATAATTATGGCAGAGCACCCACATTCTGCTATATACAGCTATATACAAATAAACAGTACTTCTAGTGTCTCACAATTTGGCACCCTATTTTGGGAACCCAACCTTTTAAAGAACCAATTTTTTTTTTGCGTCTAAGAGTGTGTTTGGGGCAAGGATCAATATTTCATTTTGATGCATTATTTCGATCACCTAGGAAACGAAAACTTTTCAACATGTTTTGAAAACATTTTGACCTGTTTCAAAAACANCTAAGAGTGTGTTTGGGGCAAGGATCAATATTTCATTTTGATGCATTATTTCGATCACCTAGGAAACGAAAACTTTTCAACATGTTTTGAAAACATTTTGACCTGTATCAAAAACAGAATAAAATAAATAAATAAATAAATAAATAAATAAATTATTTTTTTCAAAATATTGGTCAAAATATACCAACATATCTTGAAATACCTTGAAACATTCCGAAATAATTGTACAAACGCATTAAAATATAACAAAACATTTTGAAACNTTTCAAAAACAAAATAAAATAAATAAATAAATTATTTTTTTCAAAACATTAGTCAAAATATACCAACATATCTTGAAATACCTTAAAACATTCCGAAATAATTGTACAAACGCATTAAAATATAACAAAACATTTTGAAACATTATAGAACACCTCGAAGTATTAGAATTTGGATTTCATCACCGATTCTTTTCAATCTCCTTAGAAACGAAAACGTTTAAGATATTTCGACCGTTTTGAAATGATATTTTAATCTTTGGTTTGGGGTCAGTTAAAAAATAAGTGTTTATTAGATTCTTAACTTATCACAAGTGCTTTCATAAAAAAAAAATAGTATTTGGAATAAATTATTAAAAGTACTTTTAAAAAAGTAAAAACTATTTTACCACTTAAATAAAACCCAAAAGTAAAAGTTAAAAAATAAGGCTATTACTTATTCAAAATCACTTCAGCCCAGCCACTTGTATTTAATTTTTTTTTCTCCCAACTCATCGACTCTCTCGATAACTCATCTCATCTCATGGGTCTGTTAACAACCCTTTTTCTATTTTGGTGACCATTGACGAGGACGATGCTGCAGAGTTAAGCAATCACCAGCGATATCTTGACGATTCCCTTCTCTCTCCATTCTTCTAGTTGTTGCATATTTGACCCAATCCATTTGAAACAAGTATGAAATCTCATGTTTTCTTTCAACTTCTATTTCATCCGATTTTTCTTGGATTTATATATTATGTGGAACATATATGATAGAGTTGTCTATATCTCTCTCTATTCATCTCTGTTTATTCGTTTGGGAACCTAAATTTCTACCAAATAAATTGTTATATTATTGTTAGGGTTGTATTCTATTATTAGATGAATGCGATTTTAGCATTTGAGAGTTGTTTGTCCCAAATTCTATCATAATAGGTGATATGACAATGTTGTCTGATAAGCAACTTTAATGGAGTGCTCATTCCTATAAACTGTTTGATAAAATGCCTCTTAGAAATTTGTATTTGATTTGTGCTTGTGTGTGAGTCCACTCAATTCTTTTTAGATCCTTATAGCTCTCTTTGGCTTGCCGGTGTCTTTGCCAAAACTTCTTGGGCTGGTGCTACATTTTATTTATCGTGGTTTATGCTAGCTTGTCATGTAAGTAGCTCTCTGGTTATATTAGAATGGTATTGCTAAGAATCAAGTTTCACTGTAAGAGCTCTTTGCCTATATTTATATTCTTTTTGTTTGGATATCTAATCCATCCTTTCCCCTATTATTTATGTATGCTTTCCAGTGAAGTCTGCTTCTCTTACTAATAGATTCTATAGGATCTATGACAAGGATATTGACTTATTGTATTTGTTATACTAACCTAATGGAATTCAAAGGCAGTGTCACCTGGCCATAATGGTGTTGGCAACACAGGTGTGAATCCAACATGGAAAAATTTATAAGTTACATGAGGAACAGCCTTTACAAAATTTCCTTATCAGTCAAATTCTCATCTAATTTGGTTGAAAGTAGCTGCCTTTTGATTTTTCAAATGAGTTGAGGTTCAGTAAAGATCTTGTGTGAGTGACTTACAACAAGCTATACCTGATAGTATCAAGTAGTGATGCTAATCCTCTTAAGAAAACGTACCAAAGTGGTGATGCTTTCTTGGTATTTGCACATTCTTATTAGGAAATATAAGAAACAAAATAACTTTGTAGATAGGGATTTGCATCTTTAAGACGTGTGGCTTGACGTTTTTTTTTTTCAAGGTTAATGCTTGCTTCCTCTAAAATTATTGCTGACCATGGTATAGCCTTGCCTTCAGCCAATCAATATCCAATCCTAGTTTCAGACTAGTACATACTCTTAAAACTGGCACTAAGATCCTCAGTATGATATTAACTCTACATTGGATGACTTATTTTTTATGTACTTTTTTCAAGAGGTGGCAACAACCCTGAATATTTTATTGTTAGAACTACCTTGCCCACTTAAGAAATCTGACCTGGAATTAAGATTAGAATAGTGTGCTCTCTATCTCTCCAGTTTCTAATTGTAGTATTTCTATTAGCCGAATCTTTACGATGATTCACCCCAAAACCAAATAGAATAAACAAGACAACTGTGCTGATTCTAGGTTGCTACCATTCTCAATGGTATCACTCACTTTATAGTGCTAGTTCTGTTATTTAATTTTTTCTGCCCATGTTAACTTCATCATCATATTAAGTACTACCATGCCCATGTTGTAGAAGAAAAAATGTACAGAATTTATACAAGGCTTTGTTCAGTTTAGTTATTATTATACGCGTTGGGATAATAACCTATATATTTTGTGATGTTACTTTAGATGGTTTTTAGTAGTTCTAGGAATGATAAAGAAAAAGCAAACTGGACTGTGGAGGGATATAAAACTTTTTTTGAGTTATGTGTTAAAGAGTTGGATAAAAAGAATCGGCCCACTACTAGTTTTAACAAGCGAGATTGAAATAATATTATAGATGAGTTTGAGGCAAAGGAAAATATCATGTATGACCAAAAACAATTGAAGAATCACTTTGCTATTATTAAGGATGTATAAAAGTCATGACACAAATTGACTAATCATACTGGAGTGACTATTGACCCTATAACTAGAGGTGTCTTGTGTGATGACCAGACATGAAATATATTTGTTGAGGTAATATCTAATTAAGTCAATNTACTATTATTAAGGATGTATAAAAGTCATGCACAAATTGACTAATCATACTGGAGTGACTATTGATCCTATAACTAGAGGTGTCATGTGTGATGACCAGACATGAAATATATTTGTTGAGGTAATATCTAATTAAGTCAATTTAAATATTGTAAGAGTTAATTGTTAAAATTTATGGTCATAATTTTTTCCTTTACCACAGGCAAACCCCAATTGCAAAGAATTTCGTAGAAAACCACTCCTATTTGCTGACGTGCTAAATAGAGTTTTTGGCAGTACAACCGAAATCGGGGAGCATTCATGGAATCCTTCACAAGGAACCCACCCTACACTTGCTCCTACAGTCAGTGGTGGTGACTATCATGACTTAGATTTATACACACCTTGTAAAAGTCAAATTCCTAATAAAATTGGACCAACAAGAGAGGAAGTTNTTCATTCTTCACATCTAACTGATGCAGAGACCAAGAGTACTCCGTAACCAGAGAAATAATCAACCAAACAGTAGTCAATTTTACTACGGGAAAAAAGGTAACACTAAAATCACGAGCTGGTGTCTAAGTAAAGCATTTCGCTACAAGCTTAGCCTTATTACGATCAATAGTACCATCCANTCAAATTCCTAATAAAATTGGACCAACAAGAGAGGAAGTTAGTGACTCAAATGGTCAGATACATCACAGACGTGATGGGTCTATATCTTCAAAGCGCCATCGAAAAGTGAAATGGGGAGAACGATTGGACAAACAACTATCAGAGTTGTGCAAGGCAATACACAGCACTGTTACACCAACGTTGTCGACAGTTAAGGAATGCATGCAAGAGCTTCACAAAATGCATGACCTTATTCCATATGGTAGCCCGTTGTATTGGCATACTCTTGTTCTTTTTTGGGATGTTATCAATAGGGAAACAAGGATTAATTTGTCTGAACCTGGTGTTCGAGCTGCATGGTTGGAGTATATGA